TGGGTTAGTGACCAATCCACAGTGCTTCCTTTTCACCCCACTTTATTCTCTATTTCTTCTATCTCTACATATCAAGACTTTTTCTTAGGGGGAGTAGTTTAAAGATAGTTCAAAGGCAGTTAAAGGTACTGGGATTATTAGAAGCCAACTTCATACCTCATGGAGACCTCACTAGAGCATGAAGGGACATTATCCAGAGAACCTATATCTGAAGAATGGTGGTCCTATGCTATGATCTCCAGAAGCAGCAGCTGGATGTGTCACTGAGGTGTTCTCCATTGGAAAGAAGGTGAGTTTATTGGCATTTGTATCGTGGGATGGATTATGTAGGTGAGGGCCTTTTTGGAATTATGTAATAGGAAATGATATGTATGTGTTGGGCAAACAAAGGGTGGACTGTATGGACAGCTGCCATTTTGCTTCTTTATGGTGCTCCTTCCCCTGGAAATCACCACCTCCACCTCCCCACTGCCCATACGGTTATCATGTTAATCAATTTGCTCTTCATCCCTTGACCACGATTGATTAGTCCAAAGATAAGCATCTAAGCTGAATCAAAATATTTCCTGAAAATTTTGCAAACCAAAAGAAAAGGAGGAGGAGGAGGAGGAGGAACTGGCAGCAGCAGTCTCTTTGGTTGTCTACACAGTAAACTTTAAAACTTTAGAATTGTCTGAAGTCCCGCTTTTTACCATGTAAACTAGGAGAATATTGTAAGTCAGTCTGGGATGGGGAGGACAGGGGAAAGGGCCAGGGAAGGAAATGGAGACAGGCAGAAATTAACAGAGATGAGAGGTAGAGAGAGAACTCTTCTGGGTGGCTTTTGATCTCTCAGTTTCAATTGTTTCTGAGTCATCCTTGCCTTTAGGTTCCAGTATCTGATTATACATTTATCTTTTTGCTTAAACTAGTTCTCACTCTCCCTGGGTGAGCTCATCTATTTTTCTCATTTAACTATCACTCTTTTGCTGATAACTCACAAAATACTATCTTTAGCCTGGACCTCTCTCCTAAACCTGAGGCCTGTTCAGTAAATGGCATCACAGTATCCTTAGCCACTAACCTGGGAGTTACCCCAGACTTTTCCTTCCTTCTTACCTCCTCTATCCTCTAGACCTCTAAGTCCCACCAACAGTAGCTCCCAAATATCCTCAATGCTCTCCTTTTCTCTCCACTCCTTTTCCACTCCATCAGTTCAGTCCCTCATCATTAATCCTTGCCTTCACTCTCAAATGCCTTCAAGCCCCCATCCCACACCATAGCCCAAATCGTCCTACTAATTTCTGGATATGATCACATTACTCTTTTGCTCAAAATTCTTCAGTGGCTCCCCACTGTTTTCAGGATAAAATCTGAACTCCTGCAGCTGGGTCACAAAATTCACTCACATTACACTCAGATGTGCAATGATTTAAGTCTCCTCCATTTCCTATAACTAGTCTGATCTTTCTCACAATGCCCTCACCCTGCTGGGCAGTGGGCAGTGGCTGGGGGGAGCTAAAAGTAATCCACGCTGGTAAACTCTACAGGATCCAATAATTTATTTTAGACAGTCTCTAAGTACTTTGGTAGCTTTGGATGACTCAGTCTTCTCTTTCTTCTTTTCAAGATAGCATCTGGATTTTTAGGGGTCTTATGTGAATTTCATGGCCTTGGGGGAATGGGGCTTCTTAGTCACATGGTCCTTGGGGCTGTGTCGGCTGGCATTTGCTGAGATGTGGTCGATTTGGTATAAATTAGTGAATAACAACCCTGAGAGGTAGCTATTATTACCACCATTTTACAGATGAGGAAGCTGAGGCTAAGAGATTAAATAACTTGCTCAAGATCACAAAGTTAGTAAGTGAACCAGGAATCAATACCGCCCCAATTCCAGTAGGCACTTAGTTATATGAGTCTAGGATTCCAGAGAGAAGTTAAGGCTAGACTTGGGAGCACTGGGAGTCTTCATGATAACTTCAAGGATGTGCTCTTCCAAGGAGAGCATGTAGAGCGGGATGAGAAGAGGGCCAGGATCAGAATAGGTGACAATCACTGGCCTGTAAGCGTCGGGGAGGAAGAGGTCTACCTCACTCCTCCTGTCCAAGCTATATTCTTCTTAGGGGAGCTTTTAGGATAGCAAAGTAGGACTTTCACCATGCCTGCACCTATTCCGGCCAGGGAGGAACCATTGCTCAGGACACTCCATTTCTGTCCCAGGCTCCCCAACAGCCTGGCAGCAAGCCTGAGACCAACACTGGGTGGGAACTCAGTAAATGTGTCCAAAGAGCCTGCGTTGCCAGAGACTTTCACACCTCGTAGGGCCAGAGAACATGCAGCCCTCTAAAGTGGGAATGCAGAGTCCACACCCAGATGGCAGAGGCAAGTGCGGGACTGCACCATAGGCGGTTCCCCAACTGAGGAGGTTCAGTCTCCTGCCAGGTGTGGGGACGCGGGGCCTTCTTCCGGAAGACAGGCTTAGAGACCTCTTCCAGATACAGAGGGGTGGTTTCCTCAGATGTGGAAATGCAGCGGCCTTGGCCTTTCTTGGATGCAGGGTGTACAACCCTTCCAGGTGCAGAGGGTGCAAGAAATCCCTACGTAAGGGTAGGCCTCGCCCCCTCCCCACCCCATCCCATCCCCTCTCCCAGGAAAGACCCTGCGCCAGCTACTCCTTCAGCCCCACTCCCGCCCCGCGCCGGCACCAGAGGCGGGCCGGTCGCCACCTCAGCACACTACCAATGGTGCGGCAACCGGGGATCGGCCCGCCAATTGAGTGGCGGCAGCCGCGCGAGGATGGCTCCGCCCCCGGGCCGCAGGCTGCCGGCCTCCCAGGAGGCGGGGCTCTTCGCTGTTTTTGCTGTCGACCGAGCCCGGCCGAGCCCAGCCGAACGCAGCCGAGCCCAGCCGAACGCAGCCGAACCCAGCCTAACCCCGCGCAGCTCCCGCCGCCGCCGCCCGAGCGCTGCCGAGCGAGCGAACGAGCAGCCGCGGCCGCGGAGGAGGTGCGGCCCCAGGGGGAGGAGGTGCCAGCTCGCCGCAGACCGCTAGCGGCAGAGGCCGCCCCGGTCGCGCCGCGGCGGGAGCGGCCGGCGGAGGCTGCGCGGCAGAGGGGGAGGGCCAGGGGAGCGGACGTCGCCTCTGCTGGCCTCCCGCCTCCCGCCTCCCGCCGCCCCCCGCCCGCAGGCTCCCGAGCCTTAGTCGGCGCCGAGCATCCCGCTGCCCCGGACCCTCCTGCGGGCGCGCACCAGGCTCAACTCAGGTAAGGAGGGCCTCCCGCCACGGGCACGGGGGCCAAGAACCTGCGACGCGAAGATGGAGATAGAGACAGAGACACACAGCCGCGGAGAGAGACGGACACAAAGAGACACAGGAACCCCTGAAAAGACCCCACGGAGAAGGGGAGAGGGACACGTCCATGAGAACACAGGGGGACATAGCCTGGAAGAGAGACAGAGAGACACAGAGACTGATGCAGAGATACACAGAGACACACTGGGAGAGAAACGAGACATACAGGAGACACAGTCAGAGATGGGGACACACGGAGAGACAGCCACACATACACAGAGGTAGGTGTGCAGAGGCACAGGCACACATCCAACGGAGGGACAGGGAGACGCCAGACTCAGAGAGGCAGCCCCTTATGGAGACACACAGCCCTGGATGCACAGAGCCTGCACATGCCTGCCAGGGCCTCACAAAGTTCCCTCTGTGCAAGCTGGCGCCTCTGGAGGTCTCCTGGTCAGGCTGGCTGGAGTCCTGGCGAGAGGAGGTGCCCAGGCTACACCGGAGCGACTCACAGCCCCCATCCTCTTGTGCCGGGGGCTGCCTGGGTCCCACCTACCAACAGAGGGCTTTTGAGGGCGGCAAGCTTGGTGGGCAGGGCCAGGGCATGCCCACCAGGTCTAAGGAGAATGAGATGACGGCTGCCTACTCTGGCTTCCCCACGCTGGCTACACACTCATTCAGGTGCCCAGAACCAGGCCTTTGGGTGGGGGTGCTGGCTCTGTGGGGTATTTGAGCCTGTTGGGACCCAATGTCTTTACCAGTGAGGCCAGAAATGCGGGAGGAATGCTCTCTTCCCTACTCCTCTCCTCCTAGGCCTCACCCCACCCTTCCTCCTCATCACACTCTCCTTTTCTCTGTACCCCCAACAGGCTCAGGACTGCAGGTAGACATCTCCACTGCCCAGGAATCACGCAGACAGCACAGCCTCCTCGGAAGGCCAGCCATACCGGAGTCCTGCCTCGGCATGGGCATCGCCATCCAGGCAGCTCCACTGTCTGTGCTTGTCTGAGGGTGCCCGTCATGGGGGCAGCCATCTCCCAGGGGGCCCTCATCGCCATTGTCTGCAACGGGCTTGTAGGCCTCTTGCTGCTGCTGCTCTGGGTCATCCTCTGCTGGGCCTGCCATTCTCGCTCTGCCGACGTTGACTCTCTCTCTGAATCCAGTCCCAACTCCAGCCCTGGCCCCTGTCCTGAGAAGGCACCACCACCCCAGAAGCCCAGCCATGAAGGCAGCTACCTGCTGCAGCCCTGAAGGCCCCTGGCCTAATCTGGAGCCCCGGACCTAAGTCCACCTCACCCAGAGCCTGGAATTAGGATCCCAGAGTTCAGCCGGCTGGGGGTCCAGAACTCAGAGTCTGCCTGCTTGGAGCTGGACCCAGCAGTCTAGAGTCTAGCCAGCCTGGCCCCAAGAGGAGCTCAGTGGACCTAAGGAGATGGACCTGGGGTGGGAGCTTATGAGTTGGTGCTAGGACCAGGGCCATCTGGACTATGCTCCATCCCAAGGGCCAAGGGCCAGAAGCCGGGTTTACTCTTTCCCTAGGCTAAGCACCTCTAGGCCCTCTAGGCTGGGGAAGCAAACTGGAACCCATGGCAATAATAGGAGGGTGTCCAGGCAGGGCCCCTCCCCTGGTCCTCCCACTGTTTGCTGGATAATAAATGGAACCATGGCTCTACCCTGAGATTTTCTTCTGTTCCCGAGGGCCCTGTGGTAGCGAAATTAAAGGTGTGGGGTGGGTTTCCAGACAGGTTTATTTGTGCAAAGTTAGAGGGGTAATGGTTGAAGGCCAAGTCCTGGGGTGAGGTGCTAGGACCTTAAGGAGCAGAATAAGAAGGGCAGATGCTGGGACCTGATCAGGGGTGGGGTCACATGCTGGGTGCTAAGGCTGGGCTGGGTACCAGGGTCAAGTACTATGAGTACTGGATTCAAGCAATGAGACTGAGGCTGGGCCCTCAGGTCTTGGTTTTCACTTCCCTCACCAGGTTCAGCAGTTTGTCCAGTTTCGCAATCTCCACAGCTGGACCCTTCTGCACCTCCTGCCCCTTCTTTTCCTGGGGAGAGGGAAAGCGTACATGGGGGAGGAATGGTGACAGGTGGGCTACCTCTCTCTGGGTCCCAGTACTACCTCCTCTGCCCAGCCTGTCCAGCTGTGCCCTACCCCTCCCCTGCCCAGTAAATTCTGGATCCCTGCCTACCCTCTCCCCAACTGGAGTTAGGTGGCAAAGGGGCTCAGCTGACAGCTTGCAAAAAGAGTCCAGCTCTGGCTTGAACCTCAGATGGACATGGGGTCTTGACACTGGCAGAAGCGGGAGAAGGCATCCTTCCCCTGACCCTCAGAGCAACAGCCTTCCAGGCCAGGGAGATCCAGCTCTTTGAAGGCAGGGGGCTGACTGCTGGCACCATCCTTACCATGGCAAGGTCCCTGGCTGAGTCCTATCCAGGAGCTAATGGGTATGTGTTTGGGAAGGGAAGGGCGGTGGGCAGAGCCTCAGGGGCCCCCACCTAGTCCTCTCACATGATGCCTTCAGGTCAGGTTGGCAGTGGGTGCCATTTGGGGCCAGGCCTGCTGTGTCAGACATACCCAGGGTTGGGGAGGGTGTCAAGAGACTCATAAGGGCAGAGGGAATAGTCCATATGACTCCAAGTGTCCTTGGCTGAGGCTGTCCCTCAGAAGACCAGATCCTGAGTTTATGACCCCTCACTCCACCTGCAAAGCATTCTAATCCTTCCATTTTAAGCTGGACATGAGTGTGTGTCACCCACAGGTCTAGTGAACTCTTTGGCAAACCAGCACCAGTTCCACCCTCCCTACTGTCCAGGCAGTGGGCTGAGGGCTATGCTGCAGCAGGCTGGGCAGCTGTCATTTCCCCATTTCCTGCCTTCTCTCTGCTCCTTGGCCCCCATCCTCATAGCCACCTGTGCCCACTGCTCACTGACACCTACTCCAGCCTTGCCTTGGTCTGGCCAGGGTTGTAAAGGGGATGTGGGGGTGAGTGCAGGGCCAGTAGGCCCCTCCCTAGCTCCTTTCTGGCTGCTGACACCATGTGGAGCTCAGATTTCCCCCTGGTGTGACCCCGTACCTGCTCCCAAATCTTCTCCCCATCCCCTTGCAGCCCAGTGCCTTTTTGCCACTACCCAGCTCACCTCTACACTCTCCAGGCAGAGGACAAAAAGCTCTTTTTCTCTCTCTCCCCACTCTCCTTCCTGAATTAAGCTTGGGTTCTCTTCTTGGCTTCACCCCATCCCCTGGGAGTTAGGGGACCTGGTTTTAGTTCCAGCTTTGTCATTAACTCTCTATATGACTTTGGGCAAGTTCTTTGCCTTTCCGAGCTTCCATTTCCCATCTATCCTATAGTTAGGGAAAGACAGTCTTTGGCCTTTGACACGTTGGGCTGACACCCATCATGGGAGCTCCCTGGGCAGGGTAGTCCAGGCCTCAGTGGGGAAGCCCTTTGGAAACGGCAGGGAGCTTGCAGCTCACACAGGAAGGGCAGTAGGGATGCCCAGAGGATTGCATTTTGCATGAATCACTTGGCTGATTGGGTCAGATAGAAATTTCACAGGAACCTTTAATCCATTCAAGCACCCAACAGCCCCCAGCTGTCCCTGCTCAGGTCCTCAGAGATGTAGGTCCCCAAAGATGCAGAGCTTGGCTCTCCCAGCCATGACTGACCCTTCTCTGAGGGGAACTGAAACTGTGGGAGATCCTTACCTCCCTGGATCAGAGTGGGCAGGGCAGGCTCTCACCCATGTCTACCACCCTCATGGTGTCATGGCCATAACCCTCCCCCAAAGAATGACCACCATCCCTCCTAGAGGGTTGTCCAACTCTGCCAACTTCAACCTGGGTCTCTCTCCTCAGAAAATTAGGAACAGATTTTATCTGTTCCACAAATTGTGCTGCCTCCTTCCTGCTCCTTGAGGCCAACTAGCTGGGCTCAGCAAAGAGATTCAGACCATGCCAGACTCCCTCCTCCCTTCAAGCCCACCGCAGCCTCTGGGCCACAGCTGCAGGCGCTTAGCAGCCTTTTGAGTATTTATAGCCAAGTCCACCCCCTCCCCCAGCTGGCTACAATTACAGGCCCGGCCACACTCCCAGGCCTTGCCTCGCTGGCCTTGGTGGGGAATAGACCAAGCCAGCACCAGAGGGATGGTGCAGCAGTCCCTTCCTTGGTAGGAGCACAGTTCTGGGAAGTCAGTAGTTGAAAGACACAGGCCCCTGCCACTGCCTCAAACTGCAGTAAATGCCTCAAATTGTCAGGAGGGACGGTCATCAGGGCAAGCTGGCCCAGTCCTGATCCTGGCCCAGAACCTGGCAGAAAGCAAAGAGCCATCTCTGCTCTTAGCACACAAATGGGCAGGACTGGGCTCTGGGTTGTTGGGCTCAGGATTCTAAGGCCTGGGCTGCAAAGCCTGGGTTTATAAGTCTGAATGTGGACTCAGGTCTAGACTTTAAGATCATCGTTCTGGGCTCCAGACCTGTATTTGGGGGCCCTGGGCTCTGGGCAGGATCTCCTGATCATTGGAGATCCTAGAAACAGGAACCAGAGCTGAGAAGGAGGACTGCATAGCTGCTGCCCTAGTTACCCTCCTCATGGCTCATTTCCTTCCTCTCTATGTAGACCCACAGCTCCCAGCTCAGGGACCATTGGAGCTGAAGCCCTCTGAAAGCCCAGCCAATGAGGCAGTGGCTCAGCCCCAAGCCCCCTGCCTGGGTGACCCACAGCATTTCTACTGGGAAGAAATCAATGATAGCCCCACATTTGCCTCCGCAGGCTTCATCCTGCTCACTGGATGTCTCCACCTGGGAGAGTCCCCTGGGGCCCCACAGGTAACTCAAATGCAGCATGTCAAACTGCTATTTTCTCACAAACCTGCTTCTTCTCCCGTGAGCCTCATTCAGGCAATGACACCATCCTTACCCTGGCTCTCCCAAGCCAGAAACTGGGGGGTCACCCTGGCTCCTCCCTTCTGTCATCCCCACCCTCCTGGAGACTTTAGCTCTTGCAGCAGCCCAAAGTCCTGGAGCCTGTACCTTTGGCATCTTGCGCAAATTGGGCGAGAGCTTGAGGCAGATGATGTGCCCACGGTCATCGCCCACAATGATGATGGGGTGGATGGGATTGAACTGCACGTGAGTGATCTTGTTCTTCTTTTTGGCCGCCACAGGCTGGTTGCAGATGGCCTCGTACTTGTTGATGGCCAAGTCAAACACATGGGCCTGTGGAGAGGTTGGTGTCGGCACACTCAGGAGTAGTGGGGCCTGTCTTCCACCTCAGAGGAATCAGCCCCTGAACTTTCTGGGGAAAGACTACAGAAGGCTAATGGCTAGCATATTGGAGCAGGAGGTGGAGGGAGGGGGAAGTTTATGTCTCTGTTTATGTTTTCCTATGGTTGAAAGAGTAAGTATAAAAAAGTTTAGGATAACTTTTAAATCTATACAGAATTAACAATAATAGCAGCTACAGGCTGGGCATGGTGGCTCACATCTGTAATCCCAGCACTTTGGGAGGCTAAGGTGGGTGGATCACTTGAGGTCAGGAGTTCAAGACCAGGCTGGCCAACATGGTGAAACCCTGTCTCTACCAAAAATACAAAAAATTAGCTGGGCATGATGGCACACGCCTGTATTCCCAGCTACTAGGGAGGCTGAGGTGGAAGAATCACTTGAATCTGGGAGACGGAGGTTATAGTGAGCCAAGATGGAGCCACTGTACCCCAGCCTGGGTGACAGAGTGAGATCCTGTCTCAAAAAAAAAAAAAAAAAAACCAAAGAAAATGGCAGCTACTGTTTGTTGAGCACTTACTAGGTACTAGACTCTGAGCAAGTGCACCACATGATTGCATCGCCTCATTATGCTCTTCACAACCACTCTGTAAGGTGGTTCTGCTATCTTCATTTTAAAACCGAGGAGTTAGAGGCTCTTAGAGGCTAACTTGCTAGCCAGTGGCAGAGCCAGGGTTTACACCAGTTAATATATATAAAGTGCAAAGACAGTGCTTGACATATGAGTGGTCAATCAATGTTGGGTGTTACCTTCACCACACCCTAAGACCAAACCGCTATCAACTCTGGACAACTGTGCCAACCTCTTAACCAGTCTCCCCACTTCCACTCTTGCCTTGCTACAATCCACCCTCCAGACAGCAGCAGGATTACCTTTAAAACACTTAAAATCCTCGCACAGACTCCCTTGGCGCTATAAATAAAATCCAGATCCCTCACTCTAGCCCACCTCCCCACTCTCACCTCATGTTCTTGCCCCTTGCTTACTAGACTCCAGCCACACTTGCCTTCCTGTTCCTTAAACCCAAGGCTTGTTCCCACCTCAGGGCGTCTGCCTCAGCTGCTCCCTCAAGGTGGCCTGCTCCCCTTCCCCATCTCTACATGCCTCCTTGCCAGTCAGCTCTCAGCATGAGTGTCACCTCTTCAAAGAAGGCTTTCCTGACCACTGCATCCAAGAGACCACCCAGTCCTTTTCTTTTTTCCCTGTTTTTCTTTTTTTCTTTTTCATTGCCTGGTCTCTCTGAACCTCTTTCTCTTTTTAATAAAACAGCTTTATTGAGATATAATTCACATACTATAAAATTCACTCATTTAAAGTATAAAATTCTTGGTTTTAGTATATTCACAGCTATGCAACCTTTGCTACAATAGATTTTACATTTTCGCTGCCCTAGGCCACACAAACTGACTTTCCATCTCTACACATTTGCTTGTTTTGGATGTATTCTGTAAATGGAATTATACAGTATGTGGCCTTTTGTGACTGGCTTTTTACACTACGAATGTTGTCAAGGTTCCTCCATGTGGTAGCAGGGATCAGTACTTCATTCCTTGTCCTTGCTGACTAATAATCCCCAAGGAGACACTATATTTCACTTACCCATTCAGCAGTTGATGGACACTGGGTTGTTGCCACTCTGACTGTTATGGGTAATGCTGCCATGAACATTTATGTTTACATATCACAATCTTTTATTAATAATTCTCTGCCTAGCACTTTATACTGGGAGTTTTGTTGTTGCTTTTTGCATCTTTCCCTTCATTAGAACATAAGCTCCACAAGAGCAGGTATCTAAGTCACCAAGGTCCAGCCTGGAGCTGGGCACCATCGCTGGCCCTGAGTAGCCATCTGTTCCCGGAATAGACAACTGATAGACTTTAGGATGATGGCCTCTTCACCGCATTCTTTCCTTGGGGTAGCCAGTGCTTCTCAGTTTATATCAAAGTCCACAGGGAAAAGGTGTTTGCATCCAACAATGTGCTCACAAGATGTTTATTTCTGAGCTCTCACCAATTCTCAGTGTTGACTAGCCCCCTCCCACTCCACCCCTCAGAATCAGCTTGCACACTTCCAGGGGTAGAGACTTCACTACCTTATAGATACTATTGAGTCACTGATCAACTCTGGCTCATACATTTCTCCTTACATGGAGCTGAGCCCTGCCCACCCCTAGCTCCCCACCACAGAGCAGAGGAAATAACTGCTTTATGGTATCTCATTACCCAGAGCACTTTCTCCTCCAAGGTGAACAGCCCCATTCTCTCCTTGAGGCCTCATGGGATGAATGAGTCCTCCTTTGGCTGGGCCCTGGATGGCTAGCCCCTTTAAAATACACAGTCCTTGTGTCCCACCTTCTCCTTCCTGACCTCATCATGGAATGGGCTCTCCATCAGGGAGGCCCTGAGATACTGCACCTGATCTCTAGTAGGGACTCAGTGAGGAGGTCAGGACAATGCCACTCACCTTCCCATCTGTGGTGACAGCTGCGAACACAGTAGAAGAGTATGGTGCCCAGGCCACATCGCCCACGGCTGAGTTCAGGTCATAGATGAACATCGGGGTCCTGCAGTGGTGGAGGGTGGAAAGCCCATGGTACAGAGATCTCATAGTACCACAGCCTGGGGGAGGGCCCAGGGCAGAGCCAGGAATGGGCCCCTCACTTGATGGTATGGTCCCAGATCTTCACTGTCCAGTCGGAGCTGCAGGACATGAAGACCTTGGTGTGGTATGGGTTCCAGGATACAGCGTCCACTGCCATGTTGTGGGCATCATAGGTATCGAGGAATTGGCTGGAGTAGGATTTAGAGCACTGGTAGGGGAGTCAGAAGTGATAGAAAGGTCAGCAGCCACCACTCTTCTGGGGGCCTGGAGGATCTGAGCCTTAGCCTCCACTCCTATCCTTACCCCACATTGCATCCCAGCTGAACTGGGGCCAACCTCCTGGCTGCTCCTCCCACCCTCAGCACACCCAGGGGAAAGGAAGGGTTTGAGGGTCTGAGGATTCAGGACAGGCAGGGGAACCTTCCTGCAGGATGAAGGAAAGGGCTGTAGTCTGCCCAGTGCTCCAGATGTGGAGGCCTAGCCAAGCCATGTCCTGGAGAGCTGGGGTGGGGCTGGGTACCCAGAGTTTTCCATTCTCTAGCTCCCTCCAGACTGCCCATGCTGGGACCACCTGGCGAGGATTCCAAGCCAGGCAGAAAAGACCTTCTCTCCTTAACAGAGGGCAAAGCATGTATCAGGCCCGGGGGGAGGTATGGTCTGGCCATCTTCTAGGCCAGGGCCTATGGACAGACAGAGCCCTGGGTCCACCTGCAGCCCAGACATCATCCTTGCAACAGTGATAAACATCCCACCTTGTCCAGGCAAGAGCAGGTGCAGAGCCAGAGCCAACTTGGATCTCCAGATTTCCTATTCTGTTTCTTGCCCTGACCAGCGTGCCCCTCTCTCCCCACCTCCAGGAGACAGTGTGACTGAGTAGTCTCTCATTACTCCTGCCTCTCTTGGGCTGCCAGTGGGAGGGGTGAATAGGGGGTGGGGACTTCTTTTGCATTCAGACCAGCTCCGGCTGGGCCTCAGGGGCTCCCGAGAGGCTGCCTGTAATTAACATTCTAAGTCTCTGAGCCTAAGAAAAGCTTGCAGCAGAGCTATTTCTGGATGGATGGAGGTTCAGAAGGATGTTCACCTACTACCACTGAGACCTTGTAGAAACTGACCATCAGGTTCCATCCTGTTGGCTGGGATGTAGCCAGTATTCAGAGATAATTCTGGCCTTCAAAGCTCAACTCAAGTACAAATCTCCTCCAGGAAGTTTTCCCAAAATGTTTTAACTCCCCCAACTAGAGTTCCCACTTCTACCTCAACTCCCAGGAAGGGAGGGAGGACCTGGAGGAAAAGATGCGGGGCTGGGCTAAAGCCACCCTCTAGATTCTCCATCCCCTTTCCTGCATTAGCCCTTATTCCTGCCACCCAAGCAAGTCAACAAATACATTCTCTTCCCTCAAGAGGCCTTCTAGAACTGATGGGAACTAAAATCCATCAAAATAGGATCTGTTGAGAACTCTTAAGTTCCCAGCTGCTCAGGTCTAAGTGGCCCTCTAAGGAGCTGGCACAGGGCGGCCTCACCTTGTAGATTTTTCCCTCCTCTGTGCCCACTAGGAACAGGTAGTCAATTTCTTTGTGGAAGTCAAAGGCAGTGCCACAACCTTGGGAGAAGAGGGAGGAGCAGGCTTAGCCCAGTTCTGAAAGGGAGGCTCCCAGCGCCTCCCCTCCTCAGCAGAGGAGCTCAGCCCAGGCACTCTCAGAGCAGGACTCAGCGCAGGACAGACTGAACATGGGCCCCTGTAAGAGCTGGGACCAGGCCAGGCAAACAGAAACCAGCCCTCTGGCCTGCTTGTCCCAGGCAGTTAGGATTCTGCAAATGGCCAGGGGTTCTACAGACAGGAATGGGGGCCTGGGTTAACAAGGAAGGGATTGAGTTAAACAGGGTCAGGGTCAGGGTCAGGGTAAACAGGGACAGGGTCTGCAAACAGGAACATGGTCTGTGCCAATAGGGATATAGTCTGCATAAACAGGGTAGGAATTGAGTAAACAGGGACAGTATCTGGATAAACAGGGGCCTGATCTGCATAAACAGGGCTGGATCTGCATAACAGCACCTGATCTGCATAAACAGGAACAGGGTCTGCAAACACAGGGATGGGAGCTGTATAAACAGCGAGGGTATGCACACAGTCAAGGGCTCAGCAGACAGGGCCAGGCCTTCCTGTTACGTCCTGGTGGGCTCTGGCACAGGTTGCGGACAGAACGCTCAGTCAGGGGAAGGACCACTGTCACTGACCCTCACTGGGCCTGAATGACCTGGCCAGGCCTGGAGGTAAGGGGGCTGGGGCTCCTACCCACTGTGTGCAGCTGCAACCCCTCAGGAACTTCCGTGGTGCTGCCTTCCACCTTCAGCTTGATGACATCTATGTGGACCAGCTCGCTCTGTAGTCACAGAGGGATGTAGGGGGAGGGCACATGGGTTGGGCTGGGTCAGCAGGGCTGGGGGCTGCCCTTTGCCATTTAGCTCCCGCCTCCCCACTCACCCCCGTATGACCCTCTCTGGGAAACAGGCACCTTCACAAGAGTCCAAGATACAATCCTGCCATCAGATGACACAGAGAAGAAGTTAAGGTTTTGGTCCATGTCATCCTTCTGCCACTTGACCTGAAACATCCCAAAACATGAGGTCTGGGACCCTGCTAGGGTGTTGAGTTAGGTCTGTGGGCAGAGCAGGGATCCCCAAGCACCCATCTGAGGCTCAGAAGCAAGTTCTGGGAGCCCATTTCCCAGAATCCCATGATTGGTCCTCTCTCCCTCCTTCCATCCATCTCTGTCTCTCATTCCTTTCTCCTTGACCATCCTGGGGGAATAGTGCCAGTCAAAGCATTGCCTTAATTTACTGGGTTGGCAGTGGAGGTACCCAATCCTTCCCTGGGTTGGGTTCCAGGAGCCCCATTGCCGGGAGAAGGAAGTGGCTATGGGTTCAGCCACCTTACATAAATAAACATGACCTGGAAAGAACCAGGCCCATCAACCAGTTTCCTGTTTATAAAACAGGAGTCATAATAGCATAGGTTTGCCATGAGAAATAAATATGTGAAGCCCTTATGTCAGAACATTGCACATATTATATGTTCAATACATGATAGCTAATGTCCTCATTAATATGATTATCCTAGGAATCTAGGTGCCAAGGTTCTGCAGGGGCCTTTCCCTGCTTGCTTGTGGGAGCTGGAGAGGAGCAGGCCCTAAGTCTCCTGCCCACCTCTTCCAGGGTTGGCCTTTCTCTAGGAAGTGTCTCCTCTGTTCCCACCTTTCCTTTGCTACTAACTCCTGCTCTCAAAACTTTGCTCCCAGTCCCAGATTTGAGCTGTGTTTCTTCATCTGCAAATTGGGGTTAATTATCCTGCCCCACCCATCTTCTCAGGGCTGGAAGCAAACATATGGGAAAGTGTTTTGGAGACAGAGCTGTTGTCTTATGAAGATGACACGCTCGAGACTCAAGTTTCTGTTGCCAGATGTGGAGGCCTGGCCAAGCCATGTCCCAGAGAGCTGGGGTGGGGCTGGGTGCCCAGAGTTTTCCATTCTCTGGCTCCCTCCAGACCGCCCATGCTGGGACCACTGTCTTGTCCCCTCCCCCTGTCACAAGCAGAGGACCAGTGAGGGAGGCCAAGAACAGTGCCATTGCCTGCTGCCTGTAACTGCAGCTGTCACCAGGGTTGTTGGGGACTGAAGTGGAGAATGGGTTGTTTCTCCCCAGCCAGCCGGAGGCCTGATGGATTGGAGTTACAGGAGGGGGGCTGAGTCCTGTCTTGGCCTGTCCAAGCAGCTGGCTGTTTTGCACTTTCACTGGACTAGAGAGCATCACAGAGCCTGTGAGGTATAAGTCAGAGCCAGCCCTAATATTGAGACCACTTCCCCTTCTGTGTAAAAGTGGGCCTTTTAAAGGGGGGAGGGGACAGGGGGTGTCAAAGGCCAGGCTGTAAGAGGCGCTAGGGAGCTGCAAAGGGAAGTGTTTAATGAGCAGACGCCAGCACTGCATGGAAATTGTATTTCACACCCCACTTAGCAGCCTGATGCCCAGTGGGGGGTGGTGTGTGTGTATTTGCAAGTGACTGTGTATGTATGTGTGTGCAAGTCACACACCTGCTCCTGGGGTGGAGGTCGGCCAGTAGGAATAAAGCAAAAGAGGGAGGGTGGTAAGTGAGGTTAAGAGAAAGAATGAATTCCCAGGGACCAGGTGGTAGGGAGGAGCTGGAGCCTGCGTAACTGATTTATTCTCTTCTGCCTTATTTGATTAGGGCAGACCTACTTGATCCTAGTCTCTTGCTCATACATCCTTCCTGCCTCCTTCCCCAGAACTGCACCAGCATGTGCATCCCCATGCGCGCGCGTGCGCGCGCACGCACACACACACACACACACACACACACACACACACACACACAGAGTGTTGCTGGTTGAAGCTTCACTGTAGGGCTTGCACAGAGCTGGCTATTCAGGCAGGCTCCCTGGAGAAGAAGCCTGTGCTGTGGGACAGAAGCCCAATCTTCTTAGAACAGACAGTCCTCTCCTTGGCTCCAAAACCTTCCGTGGCTCACCACTGCCAACAGAACAAACTCCTTCTGCCTCAGCCTAGCATTTGAGATCTAACACAACCTCTCTGGCCTCCCCCAAATATCTCTGACACAGTCCTGTTATGTGGGACTTAGACTCTGATGTCTCTGACATCTCATTCAGCAGCCTGGCTCTTCTTCAAGCTCCAGGCTCATATAGCTGACTGGCTGGAGGACGCCTCCCTCTGGGTGTCCCTTGGGTTTCTTGTATTAATTTCTGGCCAAACCTGTTTTTCTTCTGCCATTTCTCACTTCTATGGATGGCCTACTAAGCACCTCAAACCCAGGCAGCATCAATTCTTCCCTTTCCCCATATCTAATCAATTATTTCCTTCTATTGATTTTACTACCCCACCAGCTCTCAACCCTGTCTTCTCATTTCTGTCTCCACTGCCCCTGCCCTAGCTCAGGCTTCAAAAATGCTCATGCTGCAGTCATAGGATCTATCCAAGAGACAAATATGGCCATGTTACTCCTCTGCCCCAAACTCTCTGATGGTTGGACAGCAATTTCCAAACTATGGTCAGGAGGTAGAGGGAATGACAATAGGGGACCCTCAAGCAACCTGGTCCTACCAGAGCACCACTCTCATCTTTTTAATACATTGGGTTTCTGCATAAACACTTCGCTTGAAACCACTGACCCAATGTCCGAGCATCTTAACTTAATAGATAAGCACAGGGTATTTCAAATGACGTGTCACTTCCCAACAGGCTACTCTGCTTGATGCTCCATGTCATGGCATATGTGGCCCCCTTTGTACCCTTCTTCATCTCACTAACTCTCCTCCCTCACAATCTAGCTCAGGTGTTGCTTCCTCTAGAAAGACCTGCCCAGCCCTCCAGCCCCTGGTCCCCGTCTAGGACAATGTGGGTGCCCCTCCTTGCACACTTTTACTTTAGCACTTAGCATGCTGCTCTGCCCTGGGCAGCCTGTGGCTGTGGTTATCTTCACAGTGGGAACTCCAGAGATCAACCAGAGGAGCACACAGGGAGGAGTTACTGAATGGATGAATGAGTAAGTGAATGAATGAGGAGGGAGGAAGGAATGAGAAGAAAGGAAGGGAACAGGAAGTGAGTAAACAGGTGAGAGACAGGTGGCTTCTGCCTATGTCACATGCCATGATTCTATATAAGAACCTGAGTCTCCCATTTTGCAAAGGCAGCAGCCCTGTTTTCCTGGCAGGATAGGACGGCAGAAGGCTGCCCTGTCCAGCTGAGTTCCTGTCTTCCTGGGACCTGCTCAGTGAAAGCAATAATGCTTCTTCTCAATGCCCTGCAACCTGCTATTTCCTGCAACCTGCCATTTTCCCTGCAACCTGCTATTTGATTTAGAGAACATAGCAGAGTAGGGGTAGGGTAGTTGGCCTGGGCCTCTGCCCTTCTGATTGGCTTGAGGAAGGAGGGTGGTCAAGCCAACCACAGATGCTCTGCGCTTGGCCCTAGGCTACCTGAGTTGGGAAAGCAGGGGAGGGCTGGGCGGGGTATGATCACGGTAAGTCTTTTCTCCTCTCCCTGAGCTTTAAAGTTTCTACAGACATCCTCCCTCTGCCTGGAGACCTTCACGTGCCTGGAAGGCCTGCTGATGAATTGGGAGGTGGACTTTTTGATGGAGAAAACTCCTGAGGCTACAACCTCTGGTCTCTGCTTTGTTGGAGAGTAGCTGGGGAGGGTATATGGCAGGAGGGTCTGCCTCCCTCCCACCCTCTGCCCCAGGCTCTGGGTAAAGGATAAAGCTGAGAGGGTACCATGGCCCCTGTGCCTGGGCAGTCCTCCCTCTGCTCAGGCCTATCAGTGCCAGGGCAGGTGTCCACATGTCTCAGGAAGCTCAGGGCTGTAAGAGGCAGGAGTACAGAGCTTGCCTGCAGACTGTCAGGGCAGGGCAAGAGGGAAGTGAAAGAATAGAAGACAGAGTTCCCAGTGCTACCTGATGCGCCCAGAGATCTTGAGCAACGTGAGGCAGAAATTCATCCTTAGATCCTCCCAGATCTGCCCATAGGAAAAGAGTACACAGCCTTTGAAGGAAGGGGATTTTTGGGACACGATAAGGAAGGGCCTACCAAGCCACAGCTAAGAGACCCTCTGAGAGTGGAACTGAAATCTGTGCCCAGTGGAATATGATGGGAAACACAGAGTCAGGGTGAAATCCAGCCCCACTGTCCAGTAATGGTTCCAGGCTGGTGCCAAACTTCTGCAGAGGCCTCACCATCACTTTAAGCCTGTCTGAAGAAGAGGGGGTGCTACAGAGAGGCTCAGTGGCAGACCTGGCCTACCAGGCCTTACATTCCCACCCAAGGGCAGGCAATTAGCAGCACCTACCCCTGTCTGGGAGTTTCCCCAGATCTAGCCCAGATGGCAGATGAAAAGCCGTGTGGGGAGTTGAGGAAGCTTGTGGACAAGGACCTGGTCTTTAACATACACTTGACCCTTGACCAACAACTTTGAACTGCATGGGTCCAATTATACACAGGTTTTCTTCTGCCCTTCCACCCCTGAGATTGCAAGTCCAACCCCTCCTCTTCCTCCTCCTCCTCAGTCTCCTTAATGTGAGGATGACGAGGATGAAGACCTTTGGGATGATCCACTTACATTTAATGAACAGTAAATATATTTTCTTCCTTATGATTTTCCTAATAACATATTTACTTGCTTAATTATAAGGATACAGTATATAAAACATACGTAACACACAATATATGTGTTATTTGTTTATGTTGTCAGTAAGGCTTCTGGTCAAAAGTAAGCTATTAGTTATGTTTTTGAGGACTCCAAAGTTATGCACAGATTTTTGACTGTGTGTGGGGATCAGTGTCCCTCATCCCCACATTGTCCAAGGGTCCACTGTACTCAGCTGGAGCCTGTCAGACCCTGAAAGCTTCCAGCTATGACTTCTGAGTTACTGACTGCCACATCTAAGAGATCCTTGGCAAACAGATGGGGCCCTCCTGAGGGGTGGTCTGGAGCAGCAGACCCCAGCTCTCACTGGAGACCCTCTTGCTTCCTGATTTTCACCTTCTGCTCTTTTCTGCCTTTTCTCACACCCAGATCCTGGCCTTCTGGTACCTGCCATCCTCATCCCCCTGCCTGTGGTCCTCTCCTCCCCAAGGTCCCTCCCTCCTCCAGTGTCTCCAGGCCCACACGCTGGTCCCATCCCTACCCCTCCTACCCTGATTTGAGGCTGACCTGCCACACAGGGTCCGTGTGCTTGCCAGACTTGGCTGAGCTGCGGAAGGAGGGCTGGGAGTGGGGCTTCTTGAGGTTATAAATGGCCACATTGCCATCATAGTGGCCCACTGCCACAAGGTAGGGGTGGTCCACGTGGATGTCGAGACACATGATGCCGCTGTCGCTGCTGAACATGTACTCAGGGAAACTGGGGTTCTTCATGCTGTAGAGCAGCAGCATGCCCCGGCTCTGCTTCATGAAGTCATCTACCCAGGGAAGATAGGCAGCTGAGGTTGGAGGATCCAACTGCCCTGCCCGGGAAGCCCCTCACTCCTACCCCACTAGATGGGCAAGCCCTGCTCTGCTTTATGTCTGTCAGAGAGTGTGAGATTCCTCTCTGGACTTTATCTTTTCCATCTGTGAAGTGAATTTATGAGATCTGACTGCTTCTAAGTGAAGAAGATGTGTGAGCTTGGGAAGGAGCAGTACCCTCAGTGGGGGTTTGGATGCCCAGCCCAGGGGCAGGCAGCTTTCCATAGATGCACGGATAATGCCCATGTACCCCTCCCCCCAGCCAAGTACAGGTTAAGCTTGAACATGGAATTGTCTACAGTGGGTCCCAAACTAGCCACGTATGAGCATATCCCCACAGTCCCAGGTGCAGCCTGAGCCCTAGATCTAGGCACGCTTCCCAAATCCAGAAGTCCCAGGCCAGCCAGTCAGGCTTCCACAGGCCCACCTGGCCTGGGCACAGTTTTTGGTGATCAACAATGGACCACTTAGCAGAGGTCCTTGTCCCCATCAGCCCCATGTCAAGGGAGTGCCTCCCACTCTTTCTTACATTTTCTGTATACTTGGCACCCATCCCAAAATGTAGTCATGAACATAGTTCCAGCCCTCCTGCCACCAGCTCAGTCCTCCCAGCCTCCTCACCAAGCTCAGGGGAGCCGGAGCTGGAGAGGTGGAAGGCTGGTGTAGACTCCACCTGGGGGCACTCTGCCAAAGCAGAGGGCATGTAGGGGTATCAGACCAGGTCAGGAGGAAGTAGATGCCAAGCTACAGAGACAAGGATACCAGTCCAGCCACTGACTGACAGCAGGCTTCCTCTCTTCCTGTGCTGTCCTAAATGAGTCTAGCCCAGGACTAGCTCCAAGACAGCAGCTGTTTAACGACTCCCTTATTAAGTCATGCAAAAGGCACTTGGAGGGGGTGTGTGGTAAGCAGAATAGGGTCCCCCTGCAGAGATGTCCAGATCCTAATCCCCTGAACCCGTAAACATGTCACTTTTCATGGCAAAAGGGATTCTGCAGATGTGATTAAGTTAAAGACCTTGAGATGGGGAGATTATCCTGGATTATCTGGGTAGACTCTATGTAATCACAAGGGTTCCTATAAGGGAAAGAGGGAGGCAAGAGTCAGGGAAGGAGATGCAACCATAGAAGCAGATGTCAGAATGATTCGATTGCTTGCTGGAAGGGGGCCACAAGCCACGGAATGTGGGCAGCCTGTAGAAACTGGAAAGGACAGGGAAACGGCTGCTCTCCTGGAGCCTCCAGAGGGAATGCAGCCCTCTTACCACCTGGTTTTGGTTCCATGAAACCTATTTTGGACTTCTGACCTATGATAATTTTGTGTTATTTTAAGCCATTAAATTTGTGGCAGTTTGTTACAGAAGCAGTGGGAAACTAATATAGCAGACATTTAGGGAAAAATGACCAAAACCTACTTTTAGGAATTAGAGAGAGAGGCTCTCATAGATGGTACTTTTTTTTTTCTGGGATGGTTTGGAAGCCATCCCTCTAGAAGTCAGCTGGATGGATGTAATGCTCCTTGGCTTTTCTGATGACAATAATGAAACCCTCTCTCCATTTCCTATACCTCAGCCTTGCCACCTTGGACTCCAGGAATAGAAATGCCCCTTGTGTTAGGACCTTCGTAGTTTCCAAAGGCAGGGGACCAGCCCAAGGCTGCTCTAAGAAAGGGCATCAATTGCTAGAGGGTTCAAAACCTCAAGCATGGCCCAGAGGCCATGGTGCCAGGCTGGGCTCAGTCTCTTGAGCAGATGGGCTTTTCCAGGCACTCTCATTCAATTCAAAGTCATATTGAAACAGTGAGGAAATAAGAGCAAGGCCTTAGAGACAGAATACATCAAGCGGGACATTTAATTTGATTTAGGGAAAATGAGGCAAACATTTGAGAACCTAAATAACTAACCAGTAATTAAACTAACAACGGGAATGCCCTTGCACTACAACCCAGCAAGCACAGTGGCCTTTATGGACTGTATTTACAAAGAGACCTGACAACATAATTAGTCCTGTAAATTTTACGCAGCCTGCAGCTGAGGAGTGATAGATTTTGTGTGTGGAGGATGAATGAGGAGAAATGAGGTGGATGAATTTCCATTTTCAGTAAATGAAATTAACACTGCTTAATTAGTGAAGCTGACAAATAAATGATCAGGAAAGATTTAAATCCCTACACATGTATCTCTGGCCTGGGCAGGCTCAGGGACAGGCCAGGATGAGTGGTGGGACAAAGTGCAAATAGATTTAGTGCTGGAACTCAGAGCCTGACATTGGCCCCTTTTGAGGGTGCTGTCCCCAGAGAGAGGCTGGGCTAGGGAACAGCTGGCTCCCCTGCTCTTCCAATACATGGCTCTCTGGAAAGCTTCCTGCCCCATCTCCTGTGTGACAGCCTCAGGATCACACAGAGCATCCTGATCTGTTCCACTATCCGTGCCTGGCAGACCATGAGGAGTCCCTGTGTCCCTGCTATGAACTGGCTAATGGGCTGGAAAGGACCCCTTCAGTACAGCCGGCTGACATAATTGCATCCCAGCAGTCCCAAGGCCATATCTTCCTGGGCTAGTTCCTTTGCCTTCCAACCTTCCTCCACCTGCTTTGTACATACTGACAGCCTCTTCTCCACTCTGCTGGCAACATGGAACCTATCCCTAGGGGGCATCCCAATCTTTGCCCTTTAAGCAGCCTAATGTGCCCACTACCTGGTACCCAGAAGCTATAGAAGGGAAGCATGAGGGGATATTCCTGTGCTGTTGCAGGCAATTGCCCAGATTTTCTTTTCTCTACCTGCTTCTTCCTGGCTGGCTCCAACAAAACTGTCCTATCCCAGAAATGAGGGATTGGCTCCAGTCCTTCCTAGGGTACATACCTACCCCTGCCAAAGTTATATTTGGCTGAGTCACAGAATAAATATCTGGGAATAAAAAAAGGAGGTTTATGACGTCTAAACTAAGCACACCAGAGTCAAACCCAACAAGAAATCCAAATTCTAACTCCAGTGTTTGTCCTCATGAGGCAAAATCTGATTCTCGGAGGGTGGTATCTGGAGCTTCCAAAGACAGTGTGATAGATGCTGGTGAGACCAGCTGCTCCTCACAATGACCCACAGCCAGCAGCTAGGGTGTCTTCTGCCTGCCCCAGCTTTACCCTCTTTCTCCAATGGAGGCACTCAAGAGCATGGGATTCCCGGAGCCAAGCTCAGGATGGATGCAGGGGCCTTCCTGAGTCCCAGCCCAGCCTGGCTCTGTTCAGGCCTCTGCAGGTGGTTCTGAGATATGCAAGGCTCTGGAGAATAGATGCTCATCTGAAAGCCAGCCAACAACCCCTGAACCAGTGACAACAAAAGCCAATACCACTGCTACTGCCACTGGGCCCTGCTCCCTAAGAGACTCCCCTCTGTCCCCACAGCCCCCTTCTCTGCTTAGGCCCCCTGAGGGTACTGCAGGAAAGCTAGGGGAAAGAATGACAGAGAAATCAGCAGTGATTGTCCTTTATGTGTAGGTGGTTCCTCCGCTTGCAGCATGTTTACTTCTCTCTCAAGCGTACCTCACAATAGCCCTGGAATGGAGGCCTGGCAGGTTGTCAGCCTTTCTGTGTCACCAATGAAGAAACCAAGGCTCAGAGAGGCCTCTGGTCCCAGGTATGTCACTCAGAAGTTACACCTCCACCCCTAGGACTGTAGCTGATGATGGGTACCACTCAGGCACGTGGATGTAGCTAACAGGATCAAGGAAGGACAAAGAGACCTTTCCCAGGTAAGCCCCTACCCAAAGGACATTGCGGGCTTGTCAGGCTGAAGTCGTCTGCTGGTGGGAGATGAGTGACTCTACTGCTCCTGCCCAAGGTTGCCCAGCCCCCCAGGCCCCACGATAGCCTCCACATGACCCCAACCAGCTAAGCCTGCTTCTGAACCTGGGTGGGAGGAGGATGGGGCTAAAACTAAAGCAGTTTATCCTCCCTCCTTCTGGGGAGCAACCCCTACACCCCTGCCTCAATCCTGGGCAGAGAACCTGGGCTGAGAGCAGCCTCACAGAGGGGTCCACACGCACTCCTGGAAGGGACTTCCCAACTCCCAGGCCCCAATCCAGGCCCAGTAGCTGCAGCAGAGGGGGAGGAATGTGCTAGTTCCCTGCCAGAGGGGGAGGGCACTTCCCACTTGGCAGCAGCCCACCCTCAGGAGTGGGGACATAAAGCAGTCATTTAGGGCATCCTCAAAGGCGGCCCAGACCACAAGACTGGGAGCAGCTCCAAGATCTCCTCCCTGAGAGGAATGACAAACACCCCCTCCCCCTCCCCTCCCTCCCCCTCCCCCTCCCACTCTGGTCAAAGAATGGGCGGACAGGCAGTCTGAGGGGCAGTGACTGGGAGTTTGTATGCCTGCCAGCCAGCAGCAGCTTGGAGAACGGAAAGGTTTTTGTGTTTGCAGAAGCTGATCCTCCCAGCCAGAGAAGCTGTTAGCACTGGGGAGCTGAGACTACTGCGACGTGTAGGGCCCTCTCCCGTTGGGAAGGAGGAATGTCCAGGCCAGCACAGCAGTAGGGGCTTCTTCTGGGACCAAGTCACATGAAGGGAAAGCAAATCGCCTGGACACAGTTTCCACTGTGCTGCCTTCTGGCCTCGGGTGGGTAACTGGCAGGGGTGGGCACACTCTGGACAGCAGTGGGCTACCAAAGCGCAGGGGCTCCCATCCCCCAAGCCCCCACCCACCCGAATCAGGAAGGCCTGAGGAGGACGCAGGAAGGGGGCCTCCTCCCCCAATCCGTGTGGTAAGGTCCTGTCCTCTCTCCTTGGGATGCCTGCACCAGTCTCCTAACTGGTTTCCTGGCCTCCAGTCTCACACCTGCAATGCCTGCAATTCCTCCAAGCACTGGTCATGTCCCTGTCCTTCTTGAATTCCTTCAGTGGTTTCCCCTCAGGAGAAGGTCTAAGCTTTTTGGAATGGCTTACCAGACCCTTTGAGGGCTGACCCTGGCCCTGCTAGCAGCTTCATATTCTGCCATATTCGTCATGCCTCCAAGCCTTTGCATCTGTGGGTCCCTCTGCCGGAAGTGTTCTCCCCTCTTTCTTGTCAGAATAACTCCTTCTAGGCTCCATTGGCGCATTCAGCTTAGAATATTCCTTCATCCAGCACTAATTGCCAGTAGGATTCTGGGTCTTCCCCATTAGACTGTGAGCCCCCTGTGGGCAGTAACTATGTCCAGGCCATCTTTGTATTTCTTACAACTGGCAAAAAGCCCTACACAGAGTAGGTACTTAGTGTTTGCTGTTTACAGGAACAAATAAATGAATAGCCAGATCACTTACAGGAGCCATATCCCACTGCAAACAGATCCCTGTACTTTGGATTCCTGCAAAAGAAATATGAATCCATTGGCATAGGAAATGAACATGGCCCTCCTGTGGACAAGGGCCTTCCCATGGGGACTGCCTAACTATACCACAGACATCTATTCTCCAGCTTAGACCCTCACCAACTGGGAGTCCTGGGAATGGTCCTGTGATCTCATTAGAATCCAAGTTTCATATTTTTTCATATTGCCACATGTCATACTCAAGGTGGTTAAGTGCAGAAGGGGTACTGGGGGTCTGGCATGCAGAGGGCACTCAGGGGCTCTGGGTTTGCTGCAATTCCTATACCTACCAGCAGAGGGCGGTGACAGACAGGTGCTTGGCTTGGTCATTTTGGAACTTCCAGAGCGGCAGCAGGGTACCCTCCTGGTCCCGGTATTCATCAGCAGCATCCTCGTAGTACTTAAAATCTTACACATACACAGGCAGAGTCAGCCCTGGAACTGCCACTTTATGGCAAACCAAGGTCTACCACTTACTGTCTATACCTCCTTGGGCAAAACAATGAACCTCTGTTTTAGAGTGGAAATAATAATGCTACCTATCTCAGAGCTCTGTTGTGAGGATATAGTAATAGAGTTAATATACACAAAGAGCTTAGCAACATGCCTGGCACATGGTAATCTCTATGTGTTAGCTACTGTTACTGTCACTGTTGTTGTTGGAGGTACATTACAATAAAGCAGCCATGTCTACCCGGATAAAATCCCAGGTTTTGCAGCCCTTGTTCCCATGTTTCCCTAGCACTTCAGGAGGCTCCATTTGGAGCAGCCAAATTTCAAGGGTTCAGCTGCCAGGGGCTGATTAATAGTTCTATTAATGCTGCCTCCAAAATCCCTAAAATGCAGCCCATTTTCATATCCACAGCCAAGCCTCACTATTGTGAAGCTGCCTGGGTCCCTCATGGGTTCTCTGAACTCAACTTCATCTCCTGCCCACAAACTGTCTCTGCCTCCCATTTTCTTTAAGTTAGATAGATGCCCCATTCTTCCACTTGTCTAAACCAGAAACTGAGTAATCCTTGACTGATCTCTTTCCATCATTTCTCATATTTTCTTTCTGACTATCTTTTTAATTCATTCACTTCTCTTCAAACCCATGGCCCCTGCCCAGGTTCAGGCCCCAACATCCATCACCTGTATTATGACAACATCCTTCTAACTGGTGTCCTACCCCCAGTAACTCTTCCTCCAACCCTTGTTTCACAGAACAACCAGAGTGAGAACAAACAAATCACCTCACCACACCCCTTTCCTCACTCCACTGAAAGCCCCTCAATGGCTCTCCTTGCAGAGGAGATCAAACCAAGGCTCCTGGCCGGCACTTCCACATTTTTTCTAGTCAGCTGTTCATGTCCCCTTCATATCAAATCATGCCAGTGAGTCTAGTTGTCTCCTGTTCTGTGTGTTTCTACATGGTTTTCCATGTCTAAGATGTCCCGTTCTTCCTGGCAAACTCCTACTCACTCTAGATCTAGATTAAACTCCTCCTCTCCTGCAAGGCCTTCATTTTCTTTTGAGTAGTAATTTCTTCCTCTGTTCCAGCCCTGCCTCTCCTCTACTGAAACATCTGTCACACTAGGTCGCCTCTATCCTTTTGCCTGTCTCCCCCACCCGACAGAACCTAAAGAGCAGGAAGCATATGTATTCATCTCCGGATCTCCAGTGCCTAGCACAGGGCCAGCCACAAAACAGACAACCAAAAACTGTTTAAAGAATGTAGTGAAATTAATCAACAGAAGTGAAGTAGTTCTTGGTCTTATGTCAACAAAGGATGACCAATTAGCAAATGAATCCTGTCATTCAATGAAGCCAAGGACATGCCTAGACATCGCCCTGACATCTCCTATAGTGCTCACACCTTGAGGTTGTGGGGCTTCACTCAAATCTCAAAAATGTCTCAGAACAAAAAAGATTCTAGTGGCCTGAGAGGCGTGAGCCTTGATCACATCAGAGATTCCCCAGCTTGGGTTACCTTTGAAAAGACTTCAATTCAGAGCAGAGATTAATTGGTGACACTTCTCTATTTTCATGTCTCCTTCATGATTACACTTTCCCAAAGGGGAAAGAGTATGCAATTTAAAAAATCAAAGTTCAATGCATTTTTATGTGACTGTGTTCTTATAAATGAAAGTGGTTCACCAAGGCCAATTTCTCCATGGATATTAATCAGGTTTGCAGCCCTTTGGTGGGCCACTTGCAGAGGCTGGTTTCAGGAAGCCAAGCTGTGTGAATGACAAACTCATTCACAGCTGCTGTGTTCTTTGACAGCTTTGAAAAGCACTCAAGGTCGTTTTCCAGCCTGAATGATAACGAGGGGGCTTGTTTAGGCTGCTGGTTTTGGCAGCCCTGGTTTCTGTGTCCCATGGGTGAGCAATGAGCATCAAGTCACCAAGAAGAGTCCTAGGCTGTCAGCAAAGGAGACCAGCCAGTGTCGAGGAGCTGCCAACTCTGGGAAGGCAGCTGCTCCAAATAAATGCACAACCTCTTAGGGAAATACAAGCCACTTGGGAATTTGCTGTTCATGCCATGGGAAGGATTCTGTTTCCCTGACACTGTCAAAGACACCAGAATTTCCCAGGCCCCCAGGATTTAAGCATTTCTGAATCAATCTCTTTCTTCACCTCATCACTAATTAATCACCAGGATAGATCTATTGAGTGTGTTTATTTGAAGTGTCTCTTCCAGCTCAGTGGCTTTGCAGCCTAGTGCTGAAGTGCTTAGGCTATGGATCCAAGGGGCCTGTTTCGAGTTCTGATTCCACCACTCACACCTTATGTTAGCTGTGACTTTGAAAAAGTGGCAACATCCCAGCCTGAGTTCCTTGTCTATAAAATGGAGATGATAATGGTATTCGCCTCACAGTGTGGCTATCAAGAACAAACAAAATAACAACATATAAATTGCACAGCACAATGCCTGATATACAGGCCACTCCCAGTGAATGCTGGAGCTTGTTTCTCACTATTATAGCTGTTCCCCTTTCTCCATCCCTTAAGACACAGGCTGGGTCAGGGGTGATAAGGCCCATTCCACCCCACATTTGAACCTCACCTTCACCTCTGCCCTGTATGGTACCCAATCACATCCTCCTCCAGCCTTGCTCTCATCGAGCTGTGTCCCTGCCTAGAAAGCTTCAGTTCTTTGAACTGTCTGCAGAGATAGCTCATATTACTTGAATGATACTCAAAGTCTTTCATAAATGGGCTCCAACCACTTCTCCTGCCTGAACTCTCACCTCTTTTCAACAAAGCCCTGGAGCCTGCTGCCTTTTGTCCCCAGAGTCCATTCCTATTCAGTTTCACTGCCAAGATACTGCTCATGCCATCCCTGCCCAGAACATCCTCCCTGTAGCTATCTTCTCTCTCACACTCCACTTCTCCCTTGGCATCTAGCTCAGCCCTCTCCAAAGCCTTCTTGATTACTCCCACTCATCCCTCACTTTCCTTCTTTCCTACGTGAGGATCCCCAGACTGGTTTCTGTCTACCCCATACATTCCAGTACATATAGCATTCCCAAGGTGCACTGAGTGGAGTACACGGAATAGAATGAGGAAGCTCAAGACCTCTATTTGGGTCCTCTCTGCCACTCACTAGTCAGTTGGCCTTAGCCTTAGCTTCCTCATGTGTAGAGTAATGGCAAGTCTCTGCTCTGCCTGCCTCCCAGGGTTATCAGGAAGATGAGACTGGATCACCAATGTGCAGGTATTCTTTGCTGCACCATTGTCAGATCTCATCAGTATACCCATTGTTTCTTATGCCATCAGTCATGATTAATCTGCATAAGTCTTGTCTACCCAGTGACATCCAGAGGACGGAAGGATTATTTTTTTCTTCACTTGAAACTATAGGACCTAGCATGAGATAACCAAATAACGCAAGCTTTTATGAGAAATTTTTAATACAGGAAATAATAGTGGTTGCCAGCACTTCAACTCTTACCTTGAGCAACATCATCATATGTATTCTGGTTGACCATCCGCTCCACGATCTTAGCAGCTTGGGACACTTTGGTGATATCATCAGTCTGTGGGGATACAGAAACCTCAGGTCCTCATAAACCAGCACCTGGCAAGGTTATATGTCCTGAGCCATGTCACACTTGCAATTGCTTCAGCAGTGCCTCTCTGACACCACTTACCCCAGACAGCTCTGTAAAGGTTTCTCTGCATGTCTCAAGGCCCAGCTCATGCCACTACTCTCTTCCAGGAACTCCTACCTCACAAGTGGCACAAAGGGTCTGAGCTGATATATTTGGCCCCTGGGTAGAACCTGCTTCATGCTTTTCATCTGGACTTGTTTTAGAGAAGACATATCTCTGAGCACAAAACAGGGCATTGAAAAGAGCCTGGGAAGGGTCTGGAGGGGAGAGCGGTGTCCTCTGGCCACAAGGAACTGGGTGATTGGTGATAGTTCCTTTGAGGTAGGAGGACAGAGCCGCATGCTCTCAAGTCAGCATTCCCTCGGGTGACTTCCCAGCTCCATCAGTCATGACATGGCATATCAATAACAATAGTTAATATTTATTGATCAGTAGCACAAAAGTGCTATGTTAGGGGCTGCACTTGTATTGTCTTAGGTTCCATGACAATCTTGCAAATCGTTAGGTATCAATCTAGGTATCGTTAGGGTGTCTTTACAGATGAAGAAACTGAGGTTCCACAAAAACTGAGCTAAAAAACGGCAAAGCCAAGATATAAACCCAGGTCTGTAGGCTCCAGGGCCTATGCTCTGAGACCCACATGGCCGGCCAGTACCTCCTCAGCCTGACCACTCCTCTCCTGTCCCTGGGAGACGCAGGTTTCCAGTTGTGTTCTGAGGAGAGTGTTGTGGGCTGTCACTTCCTTATCCCGGATACTATGCTACTGGAGCAGCCACATATCTTTATTAGTTCTAACTAAACTTGCGGCCTGTGAGCCTTTTCCTCCTGTCCTGCCTAATGATTCTGATCAGACAAACTTGCATTGATTTCTGTGAATTCACCCAAATCACTGACGAGACAGAGACCTGAGGTCCACCAGGGAGGCCCTTCCTATAGGGTATCATGAAGTTTTTCTCTTTTCTCCCCTCTAGCACATTTGAGTTTTCTACCCACATAATCAGACCCCGTTCTTTGAGGAAGGGGTATCACTCTGCTCAAGCACTGAGTCTGGGCAATTGGGAAGGTGACTGTCTCTCCCACTGTGTTGCACAGACAGCCTGGCCCAGTACTTAGGATTTCTAGTTATTGCCTTTGGGAGAGGTTGCACACCAAGGCAATTGCTGGGTGGGGCTGGGGGAGGGTGTCCTGCCTCCAGTGTGGACTCTTGGTCCAGAGGGTGGAATCTGCTTGTATCATAGTCTTTTTTCCCAAGTCAGGTAAGCTTGAAGAGTCCGGTGTCATGGAGAGGAGTCATCCCTCATCCCTGAGGATGTCAGACACCAACTCTGGCAAGGCTTAGAACACAGATCAGATTCTAGGCTCAGCCACAGGGACTTTTCTTCTGGTTTCTGGGTCCTAGCAATTACAGTTGAGGTTTCTCCAACCATGGGTCTCAGCACAGAGCTCATAACCCCTAATGGATCTTCATGTGAACCCGGACCTAGGCCAGTGGCGCCTGTGAAGCCTCTAACGTCTAAAGAATGGATCAGGGGAAGCCAAGGGTCTGCACAGAGTAACTCTCAGGGCAGGAGTTCCATCTTTCACCTCAGACTGCCAGTACCCAGCATGGCTATGATCACTAGGTACTTAGTGATTGAATAAAACAGCATTCAGACAGTTCCTGTAAAGCCAAGGTAGGGGACCCTTAAACTTCCCCTAAAATGTGACATTATCAGGATAATGAAACAGAATTGAGTGGAAGTGGACACACCTCAGGCATAGGAAGCAGCACCTCCTTTATCTGGTCTAGCTTCGATTCTGGAGTGGAGCAGAACCACCATTCCAGAGCAGCCATGGGAACTCTCCGAGGTGCTGAAATCAGCCCCCAGATTCCTGTGGACATTGTCGCTCCCATGCCATTGCAAGTCAAACCCATCCTGATCCACACTGGCTCCTGATCCTGATTTCTCTCTGTTAAAGGGACAATGTGGCCCTCCAGCGTCTCCGGTGTTGATCTTCCCTTCAGTGACTCCCATGATGATCCCAAACCTATGCTGGCTAAACCCACAGTGAGCCTCCCAACCATGACCTTTATAATGACTTCTATGTGGCTCTTCATGGCAAATATAGCCCAGGGTGGTCAAACCCATTGCCTAGCATTGATGGTATCTGTGATCATCTCTGATCTGGCTCCTGGCCCTGAAGATTCACTTACAGTATAGGGCACAAGTAAACCCAAGCACTGAAAATGAAAAGGCATCTCACTTTCCCAAATCCTATAAGCCCTTACCCAGGGAAGTGGTACCTTATCCTCACATCCCACCCCCACCCTAAGCAGACTCCCCAGCTCTTCCAGAAGGCATATAGTTCTTTCAAAAAGAAACATGTCTTCTGTTACCCTCTAGCTATATAATTCTAAAATTCTGCTAGCCTCCAGATCTATCGAACTGGGGGGAGGTATGGAATGCTAGAGGCATTTGTAGCTCTCCTCACATCTTCCCCTAAGGAAAAAACTATTTATACCTCAACATTAGCCCCTGATATAAGCATCTGTGAAACCCTCCCAGACAGCCAGGCTTCTGTCTACCCAGAGGCCAAGGCCTCATTCAGAATTCTGTGGTAGAGTTATAGGAACTAACACCAAACCTGAGACTCCAGAGATGTCAGCTTCCTCATGGCCATCTTTCCTGTTTTTTTAGCCACTGGGGTCTTTGCCTTCTCCTTCTCTTTGGTCTTTTCCTGCTTCTCAAGTTCCTCTACATAGGCATCATAGATCTCCCACTAAGCAAGGGTGAGATAAGAAGGATCATTGTAAGGTAATCTTTACCCAGACAGCCCTTTTCAGCCTTCAAGACTTAAGGAGTTGGTCATATTAACCCTGGCCACAAGCATCCTCTACCTGACCCATTGGAATTATGTATCCAATACCTGTCTTCCCTGCAAATCACCAGCTCTAGAACAAGAATAAAAGAGTTCTAAGGAGATCTCTGGGCTGGGTTTATCTACTCTGAAACTCAGGGGCTGGGTCTTTAGCTGGAGATCAACATTGTTCTAGCATGCAGCCCCCAGCAGGCAGAACAAATGGGCAAACATCAGGCCAGTTCCCATGTTTTTGTTGGTGATTTATAAGACCCTGAATTAGAATATTTAAAAAATAGGCTGGCACAGTGGCTTATACCTGTAATGCCAGCACTTTGGGAGCCTGAGGCAGGTGGATTGCTTGAGCCTAGGTGTTTGAGACCAGCCTGGGCAACATGGCAAAACCCCATCTCTACCAAAAATACAAAAATTAAACAGGTGTGGTGGCATGCATCTGTGGTCCCAGCTACTCAGGAGGCTGAGGTGGGAGGATTGCTTGAGCCCAGGAGGCAGAAGTTGCAGTGAGCCATGACTGTGCCACTGAACTCCAGCCTAGAAGTCACAGCAAGACCCTGTCTCAAAAAAATAAAAAATATATATATATTTATATATCTTATATATATAAATATATATATTATAGTGCTTTCAATAAGGAACATGTCTTATTTCTTATATATTTTATATATATATATATAATATATATACATATATATTATATATATAAATCTATCTATCTATCTATCTTCATCTTCCCACCTCCACCCAGGACATGGTATAAACATACTGGCTTGGGTTGGCTGTCTATGGCACTGACAACACCTCATCATTAAAGGTAAGGGAACCTCTGCTAAGAGGATCTGACAGGAAGAAAAGCCCCAGGATAGTAGCAGAGGAAGCAGCAAGGATCTGGGGCTGGGTAAATGCCCCATCACACCGTGTGCTCCCTAGAGCTGGGCAGTCACTGCCACCTGGAGGTCAGATAGGCACACCCTACATTTAACAATTCCCCCACAATCTCGTATTCCACATTGCAAAGTACTCCAACCTTTGTTATCTCATTCAGACCCTCCAACAACTCTGTGAGGCAGCTTGTCATCCTCTCTTTACAGAGAAAAAAACTGAGGCATTAAAAGTGACATGGTTTGCTCAGGATCTTACAGTATGAACAGAAAATGTGAGGTCTGAGATCAGATCCCCTGGCACCATAGCCTCTTCAAATAAGTGTGGCATCCAGGAGGACTTGAAGGGGAAAGGGGGCTGCAGGAACACTGCAGGCTGCTGAAGGGCATGGTCAGAGTACTAACACTTCTTGGGCTGCTTAGGAGTCAGTCACAGGGTGCCATGGGTTCCAGAGAGTCCATGGAAGCAAATGTTTTCCCCTGGCCCCAGAGGAAGCTTCATCCAGAAGCCATGCCTGTTTCCAGCCAGGACAGCTTTGCCCTCGGGTCATGTGGCTGGTCCACAGCTCACTGGATAGGGACCTACTGTCTCATGTGCCTGGTGTTCAGAGCCTGGATGCTCAGGACAGTGAGCAGGGAGGTGGGTAGATGAGGAGAATGTCAGAGGAAGCCTTGACCCAGTGTTGCCTTTGCTGCTCAATGAGGAAAGGATACATAGAGGTGGGTGGTAAGGGTTTTCAGGCTGGCCCAGGGTCTTACCTGATTGGCTGTGGCTGAAAAGTTTGTCCTGGGAGGAGGCTCCATCTGACATTCTCTATCCTGGAAAACAAGACAACATGAGACCCACAGAAAGCCCTCAATCCTTCTCACTTAATACATCTCAAAGATGTACTGTTTGGATCAAGTGAGAAGGAGTTGGTTGGAGCTGATGGGTGCGGGACCCAGAGCTGGGGAAGTAAAGAGGGGCTTGGGTAAAGGACTGAATGATGCATTCAAAGCCCATATTATGTCCATTCTGGCCTCCCTCAGAAGAATTATAAGCTAGAAAGCAGGGGCAGGGAATCCTGTTTGTGCCCATTTTAACCAAGACACATTCCAAGTAGGGGATGAACAGATTTGCAGAAAGCCAGGCCAGGGCATAGAGGTCAGCCTCTGGCAGGTCATCAGACTAACACCCCTCGCCCTGAGAACGCTTCTCTCTAATATGAGGATCTCTGGCTCTACCAGGGGAATGTGCCCCCTTCCCATTGTGTATCACCCAGATTACCAAATGTCAGCATAGAGACCACACAGGGTAACAAGGCACTGTCAAAAGCTCACCCTGTAGACCCTGCCCTCCATCTTCAGGTTAATTTCTGTATAACCCTGCCCTTATGTGTGAGTTTCTCACCTGAAACCCTGAGAGGCTCCCTCCGCCTGGTTCTCAAGAGCCTCTCTTATGAGTCAGAGAACTTTCTGACCTTTGCCAGCTGGTCCATCACAGAGATCATTAACTTCAGTTGAACTGACTCCTAGGTTTCCTGTTCCCCAAACACATTGTGGCCTCCCCTCTCCTCCCAAGTCCTAATTTCTACCCCTCTACAAAGCCCAGATCCAGTTTAAGCCTCCCAGTGGAGTTTTGGGGGCTCTAGCCTCCATGTTATTCCCTCTAAACCCCTGCCCGGATGGCTTACAGAGTCCTGAACACATGCTCTCAGCTCTCCTTGGGGAGATAAACTGTGGCATCTGTCGTCCTGTCACCCCTACAAGGCTGAGGTCTGCTGAGGCCAGGGTCAGGCCTGCTTCTTCCCTGCCAGGCACAGTGAAGAGCTATAAAGGGGCTAGGATGGGGGCTGCTCTACCCGGAGAGGGTTGTTGAAGGTCTGTGAAGCCCTCTCACTGAAGTTGAACTGGTTAGTGAGCTTTTGCTCCTTGGGCTGCTTAGGAGTCATCAATTCTTCTTCAGTTACTTTTTCAGCTTCCTGAAAATAAAGACCCAGAGGATCAGGACTCAGCTGTGAGAAGAAAGTGGTAGAAAATTGGGAGATGGGGCAAGTCCTTTCCTGGGATAGGACAGAGGTAGGAGAGAGTGATGCTGCCAGACACATTGGTACCTGCAGCCTCTATTCTCACCTTCAGTCTCCCTCCTCCCTTCCCAAGTTACCCATGAAGCTGCCAGCCACAGCTTGAGCAGAAAGAAGAGGGATGTAGAGTGATATTATACTGTACCCCAGCTGCAGGCACATCTGTTTGACTCCCAGGCTCAGTTTCTAACTCCTTGGGCTCTTCATCTTCTTCAAGGTTTTCTGTTTCTGAAATCACCACTTTGGCAGACTCCTGAGAATCTTGGTAGGATACTTCCAATGAGTTCAAAGTCTAGGCCTGCTCTCCCAATCCCTGGCAGGGAGGGCCTTCTTGGTCTACTTTTCAGACACTACCTCTCCCTGGGATTGTCCTTGGCCTGAGTGTGATGGGTTAGCTCCCTGACCTATTCAGTACAGCCAGCGATTGGACTTTATGTTAGCAGAGGCTCTGCAAAGTTCTGGCTTAGAGATATACTCCCTGGAGTGAACAGAGTAAGGGGAACAGGCTCAGGGATATAGCCTCAGGATGGCCCAGAGTCCTACCTGCCACTAACTCATCGCGGTAATGCTGCCGCCGTCCTTCATCTGAGTCTTTGGGGATAAGGTTCCCAACCTGGGTGTAGTGAACTGCCAGTTGGTTCACAAAGCCAATAAGCTTGTATGTGCCTTCCTAAGGAGAGAGGGGCTGAGTCAGACCAGGGGTCCCTAAAAGAGCTAGTCAAAATGTAGTCTGCTTTCATTCTGTAAGATCCAAGATAGTCCATCTTTGTTAAAGGAAATGTAACTCACCAAATCCTCAGTTAATCTGAAATTTTCACTGCATTTCAGTTTAAAGAAAAAAAGGAAGAGAAGGCAAATGAAATAAAGTATTTTTTTAAGTTGTCATCAAGGATTTATTTTAAAATACCTTGCCTTTCCAACTTCAAGTGGCTCCAGATTTGCCTATCACCAGCTTATACGTCTTGTCTCCTACATCCATGCCAAGAGTTTCTAGTTTACTTTCCACACCATATACCACATTTCCTGGGCAGATACAGTCCTCAGACACAACTGGCATGGCCCTCTGTCCACTGTACTTAGTGGATTCTAAGGCTGGATAGATCCTCAGAGACAACCCCAATCCCCTAATTTCATACAAAACGACCATGGAATTCCAGAAAAGATTTATTTGGGTTGGCATTTGTCCGAGTCACACAGCAAATGAGAAGCAGGATTAGGCTTACAACCCAGGTCATTTTGTTCATCCATTCTTGAATTAATTTTTGAACAGCCTCAATGTGCCAAGTATTTTCCAGGTGCCTAGGATATAAAGCTCAGAAAAAAGCAGACTACAATCCCTTATTTACAAGCTTATAGTCTGGTTTCTGTAAAATCCTTTCAAGTCATATAGAAAATATGTTTGTAGGCACACTAGGGTAAACTCACAGTACAGGAAACCAGTTCATGGGCTCCAGCTGCACAGATCTCCCTGCCCCTGGAGGGCTGGAAGGATTGCCATCACACAGGTTGGGAAGTTCTAGATTTAAAAGTCAACACAGAGCCCTTTCACTTTCAGTAACTCAGATGTATGGGAAGATGGAACAGTACAGCAGTTAAGAGCATGGTCTTTGGAGGCAGGCAGAATTGGGTTCGAATCTTTATTCTGCTTATAATCTTCATGACTTTGGGCTTAAACACCCCAACCCCTAAGTTCTTCATCTATAAAAGAAGGCTGATAATACCCAATTTGCATAATAGTTATAGTATTAAAATAATAAAAACAAGGCCGGGCGCGGTGGCTCACGCCTGTAATCCCAGCACTTTGGGAGGCCGAGGCGGGTGGATCACGAGGTCAAGAGATCAAGACCATCCTGGTCAACATAGTGAAACCCCGTCTCTACTAAAAATATAAAAAATCAGCTGGGCATGGTGGCGCATGCCTGTAATCCCAGCTACTCAGGAGGTTGAGGCAGGAGAATTGCCTGAACCCAGGAGGCGGAGGTTGCGGTGAGCCGAGATC